ACACGAGATACTACAGTATTCTTGTAGCCCACAATGTGAGCAGGAGCCTGGACTAGGCTTTCCATCTTAGAAAGGAAGAAGCCGCAGCCCGAGAGGCTGAGGAACTCAATCAGATGCCAGAGAGGCATCCTGGGAGGCGACTGCGAGGGCTGACTGTGGAGTCAGACGGCCCTGATTTTGAACCCCAGCTCTGTGACGCCGGACAGGGTCCTGAGTCCCAGCGGGCCACAGCAGCACTTGTAAAAGCAGGTCTGTAACAGCCAAGGCACCGACTGTTGAGGGGTTAAGCCAGTGAGCATGTAAGTAACAGTTTATAAGTGCGGCACCAGGTGCACAGCCACGGCCTGGCACAAATGACACCTGCTTTAACTGTAATTTCTGATGCACATTTCAGTCCGCCAGAGAGACCTAACCCAGGACCTCTGGCTATGGCCTGCCCCCAAGGAGAGGAAAGCCCACGCTGAGAAGCTCAGGTCAGAGTGTGAAGGCAAAGGCCTGGACTCACCCGCTCGGGCCGAGTGCCATTCTGTTCCAGGCCAAACGTAATCCCAGTGTCCAGAAGGCGCCGCCCAGTCTCCACTAAGTAAAGGTTAATGGTGTAGGTCTGATTGAAGCAAGTCAGTGAGTCCTAGGGGTACAACAGCATGGGTCAACCAGAGGGCCCCCCCAAAGATCAGCCCCCTGAAGGACGTCAATGATTGGGGGGTGGATACCCTACAAAAGGAGCCCCTCCAGAAGACGAAATACGTGCAAAGGAAAATAAAAAAGCAAAGAAAGTTAAGTCCGAGGGCAGAAATGAGGCGCTTGCCCACTACGCTAGTTTTAGAAGGAAGCCAGTGCAGAGCAGTGGACTTCCCAGAGAGCAGGCAGAGCGAACGAGGGCAGGAACCGCTGTGGCTTACGGGGGGAGAAACAGCACACACCTCTGCCTCCACTTCAGAGCTACTGCACAGATACCCCTCAACTCTACTGCCTGGGATCCCAAAAGAAATGGGGAAACTGACACTCAGAGAGTCTGTTAGGAATAGATTTGAGGGATTCTACCTCCTTATCTCCCAACAAAAAAGGATTGGGGAAAAAAAAAAAAAAGGATTGGAAAAACATCATTTAATTCATAGTATTCAAAAATCCCGTTTGAGGCTGGGAACTCTAGGAGACCTACTCCTTGCCTAAGCTGCTCCCCCAACTTCCGTGGTGGCCTGTGTCTCTTGGTTGGCCCTGCCCAGTGACATGCCCTACCTTTGGAGCAGACTTCTCTGAAAAGCCCCCCGCTGAGCCATCTTCAGAACTGCTAGGTTTCTGTTTACAGCAAAGAGAAGGACAGGAAAAATTCAGCTGACAGGTCACTGCCCAGTCAAATGGATCTTTTTATTTTTATTAAGAATTATTTCTAAATTTTATTTTATTTCATTTTAATTTGCTATAAGACTCATGCACTCACCAGAAACAGTGAGAGAGAAAGCGAGAAAGCAAGCCGCCAGGTCCGGGACTCAAACCAGTTAGCCATGTGGGAGTCCAGCGCTTTAACCACCATCCAACCTCCTGGCCCCAGTCAAATGAATCTTATTTCTACGTCTTCTCCACACACGTGAGAGAAGCCAAATCTTCCTCCTCACCCCTGCCCACAAAGCCTATGCAATCTTTAACAGTGAGGCCATCATGACAGGATCTCTAAAGGGGGTTGCAGGTAGCTCTATACACAAGGTGAAAACGCACTTCTCAACAGCCTCCTGCCCCCGGGTCCAAACCCATCAGGTGAGCATCCCCAGACTTCCTTTAACTTTATTCCCTCCATGTGCAAGTGAGAGAGACGGTATCTCCAACAAGACCCTGACACCACAATCATCCCGAGCCTCCGCTGG